GTCAGTGAGCGATTTCTTGTAGAATTAAGAACCAAAAAATGGTCATTAATTGCGGTTGTGGACCTTAAGCATCCTTAACCAGGCTTTCGTACAAAATTTCCTGTCTCATGGTACCTTTTCCAAAATATTCGAAACTGTAGATTGACTTCTCCTGAGATGTGTAATATTTTTTTGTGTATATCCTTCCTCATACAAAATTGCAATTGTGATGCTTGGGCTTCATCACAGTGTCGAATTAGTGGCATATTTTTTTATCTTACTTCAATCAAAACAATATTTAATTAAACTTAATAGATTAAACTAAAAATAATCGAATTACTATGGTTTTTCCTTTACGTGAAGAAGGTTTTTTATGATAAAATATACGAATGACACTAAGCGGAAAATAAACGTAAAAATAAACGTCAAAATATTTCAATTTATTTAGGCTACATCAGCCTACTATATGAGTAAAATCACTAATCTAAAATTATTTCAAAATAATAATGACTATAAAAAAATAATTGAAAAATTTCAAAATATTCGATATTTTTGTCCATGACTTTATATGAATCAGAATTAGAGCGGGATGGATAAAGTGAAAGAAAGTGACTGGTGTATTGTGTGACGTGACAGATAGATTTCCATAAACTTGAAAAGAAAATTCAATAAAACTGTTGAATAAAAATGTAGAAATGACATTTAACAGTAAATTGATACATAGGTATATATGGTGTTGAGATAATAATAAATGATAGAATCAGCAGATCAATATTGAGTTTTGTCCCTTACTATGATACAATTATCTTTCTACAATTTAAATATTTATGGCTCCTTAATTTTGTTTAGGTGTAGGTATCCTTCTTTTTCTAAATGTGCCTATCTTCTAGATATGGTGGTGACCAGATAGACCCATCTCATTCTATTCACAGCAGCTCGAAGTAGATCAGTTGACGTTAGACCAGTCCATTTCCTAAGATGCCAGACAGGATGTACGTCTACGTCCAGGGCCGCTCTTACCCTCAATCTTGCTCTGTAGAATCAACTGGAGAAGTTGGTATTTATTATTACGCATGATATGATCGAAGTAAGCCAATTGTCTGTTTTTTATGGTGTTAATAACTTCTTTGTCTTTTCTTAGCCTCTGGAGAATAGTTATGTTACTTGTGTGGTGTATATATGAGACACTCAACACTCGGTAGTACCACATTTCAAATGCCTCAAATCGTTTTATAGCATCTTATGTAAGGCTCCAGCTTTCTACTCCATATGGGATCATTAAAGACGTAACATCTAAGAATTCTTATTCGTATATTGATATTTAAAGATAAGTTGCAGAGAATCTTCCTAAGGCTGTTAAAAGAGCTTTTGGATTTTTCAATACGAGTTTTTATCTCGCAGCTGTTATCCCAAGTATCCTTAATACTGCAGCCCAAATAGCAGATTTTTCCACTCTTTCTAACAGTGTATCGTTAATTATAATTTGGGCGTTTATGTCGGTGTTCTTAGTAATGATCATTGTTTTTGTCTTCTTGATATTTAGTTTTAGGCCGTATTTGTTACATGCTTCTACAACGTTATCCATCATCCTTTGGAGCCCTGCGCACTATCTGCCAGTAACACTGTATCATCTGCATATCTAATATTATTTATAAGTTAGCCATTTACAGCAATCCCATTACATTCGCCCAAGTTCTCTCTAAAGATGTTTTCAGATTATATGTTAAATAATGCCGGTGACAATATGCAACCGTGTCTAAGTCCCTTTTCGACTGTGAAGATCTCGAACAGTTCATTTTCTAATGGTACTGTTGCTTTTTGTTGGAGATATCAGTTTGAGACCAGTCTTATATACTTACCATCGAGTCCTGATGTTTTTAAGATATCGATTAGTTTCCCATGTGGGACTTTATCAAATGCCTTCTCGAAATCAATGAAACATGAATACACAACGCAGTTGACATCCCTGGCTCTCTGTATTAGAACTTGTAAACTAAAAAGTGCTTCCCTCATTTAGAGTCCTGCTCTGAATCCAAATTGAACTTCACTCAGGTGTTCTAATTTGGTGTATATGCGCGAGTGAATGATAGTAAGGAGTACTTTAAATACATGACTTATCAAATATTTTTTAGGAAGTGGAATGAATATTGATAGTAGCCAGTCTCGTAGATGTTGAATAGCTTCGTAAGAGCTGTGATTTGGTGTATCTCTAATAGCTTTAAAATTTCACCATGCATCTCATCAGGTCCGGGTGATTTCCCATCTTTAATTCTTTGTTTGCTATTTCTGGGCCATAGGGATTGTTTATTTCAGTCGGATTTCGTGCTGCATCTTCGAATAATTCGTCCATATATTCTTTTCATCTTCGTAACTTATCTTCAATGGTATCCGTATTGCCTTGTTTTCTGGTATTCTGTACATCTTTAATTTTTTTGTGCATATGGAAATCGTCATGTTTGCGTTGTAGTGTTTCAACTTTCATACATTTCTCCGTTAGCAATGCTTCTTTTGCTCCTTTTATCTCCTTTAGTATAGTCTTATGCAACTCTTTATATTCGTTGTCATTTCTACCTTTTAATTTTCTTCTGGCAAACAAAGCCTATTTCGCGATGGGCCACATATTCAAATCGCGAGACGTACACCGGAAAACAAAACTCCGGGTATATAAAACAATAATCCGACCCATAGTAAGTTATGGGTGTGAAACATGGGTTATAACACAGAAATCTGCCAATGCATTAGACGTGTTCGAAAGAAAAATATTGCGTAGAATACTGGGTCCAATAAAGGAAAATAACAACTGGCGAATTAGATATAATAACGAAATATACGAACAATACACTGAACCAACACTAGCACAATACACTAGACTGCAGAGATTACGATGGGCAGGGCATGTGGCCCGCATGCATGAGAACAGAATCCCCAGAAAATTACTAAACGCAAGAATGCAAGGAAAAAGACCTGTTGGAAGACCAAAAAAGAGATGGGAAGACGAGGTAGATGAGGATGCCAAAAATCTCCTAAAAACGCGTTAATGGAAAAGAACAGCAGTAAATAGAGATGTTTGGAGAGGTTTAATGAAGGAGGCCAAGGCCCGGCTTGGGCTGTAGTACCATTGGATGGATGGAATTTTCTTCGCTCTTCCATCATCTGCCATATTTTATTTGTCATCCATCCTTGCTTCTTTTCTCTTTTTGATTTTAGATATTCATGCGATATTGTGACATTCATGAGTAATAGATGTCTTCATTTCGTTTCACTGTTCTTCTATGCCTCTAGTAGTGTCTTCAACTATTTTCTTAATTGCTGTTTTACTTTTCTCTGGATGTCATTTTCTTTTAGTAGTCTTATATCTGTCTTGGGCCTCATTTTCTTATGAATTATTTTGAGTCGTTATTATTATATTAGCAACCAATAGACTAGGATCTAAGAAGACATTTGCGCCTGGATATGTTTTTGTTGGGGTGATAGAATTTCTAAACCTTTTGTTTATGGTGATAAAATCAATTTTTCTTCTTATGATTTTCCCTGGGGTATCACCGGGTGCTTTCCATGTATAAAGTCTTCTTGAATGTAATTTAAAAAGTGCATTCGTTACAACCATATCCGGATATTGGCAGAATTGGATTGGTCTTTCTCCTCTTTCGTTTCTTATGCCAAGACCATATGACCCCACGATATTCTCGACTGTACCTTGTCCTATTTTGACATTAAAATCGCCTATAATAATAGTAAGTACATGTTTTTGGTCAGTTTTAGAGAGTCTCCAAGAGTCTGATAGAAATTTTTTATCTCTTCTTCAGTGGATTCTGATGCCGGTGGGTAGACCTGAATGATGTTTATACATACTAGAGGGACTTGAGTTAATTTTCAATAGCACAACTCTGTCTGATATGGGCGTAAGTCCTATTACTGCTTTAGCTATTTCCCTTTTTATTATTATCGCTACACCATTTCTGTTTCTTGTTGTGTGGTCTGCAGAATAATAGATATGGTGTTCATCTATAATTCTTATTCCAGAATTTGGTAATCGAACTTCACTGCATCCTAAAATATCTATGTTCAGGCGAGTCATTTATTGAATAGTGTTTGCTGCTTTGCCTGCTCGGTACATGCTTCGAAAGTTTCACGTACCGATACTTTTAACTTTTGGGACATTGGCTGATCGGGGGATTTTTAGCACCCTCTCCCCACTTAAGTAATGTCCGGGACTGAGGGCCGTTTGTTTTGGATTTTCAGCCATTGTGGTGTCCTGAGTATATCCTTATGGATCTTTAATGTGGTAGTGATCCCGTGGCTTTCCACATCTCAATGCCGTTGGCCGATTTAGCTCTTCCGCCTTTGAATTCAATTTCTCAGCTCCAGGGCAATGAAGTGCCCTACCACATGTCAGTTCTTCCACCCAAGATTACCTTCCAAGAATACTTTTATCGGTAATCGTTCGGTTACTTCGCAGTATCACAACTGGTTAAATTATAATTACCATCTGTGATTATTCGATATCAGATCGGTAAAGAGATTTACCTCTACCGCTTCGATCCTGTAATTTTTTAGTTGATCCGCGGGTGTTTATTTGGCAAAGCCTTATTCACACCTGTCCTACATATCTGTAGGGCCTTCCCCCCTCCGAGTATGTTTTCCAAGAAGTACTAAAGAGCCCCTACTCAATTCAGAACCCCTCCTTCATGGAAACTAAACAGACACGGGTAGTTTCCAAGAAGCAAACTAACCAATATAGGCATCCATAACGCACAATAAAGATAAAGAAATAGAATAGTTTTATGCCAGTTTGAAAGAAGTCGTTATATCAAGAAAGATTAACGTCAAAAACTGTACGGGATAATCAATTGGTTCAGTTGTGCCAAGAGGGTCCAACAATATTAAAGGAGGAAATTGAAAACGTAATTAAAAATATAAAAAAAAATAACAAAGCAGGCGTTACAGTATTATTTATTCAGCAACATCATTATTATATTAAACATAACTTATATTAAAGAAATCAATTGTTGAAAAATTACCTTGCTTACTATTGGGTGATCCACCAGCGGCATTACTTATTTTCAGAGGTTTTACGAACTCCACATCGTCTGTTTCAAAGTCCTCTAGATGTGTCTTCTCGATAAACTCTGTAATGAAAATAAAAAAAATTATTTCATACACAGTACAGAGTACGAAATCTATTATACGGAATATAATGTAGGTTTAGAGATACAAAATAAACTAAATAATGGCCTACGGTAGTTACAGCCATAAACCAAAATACCAACAACGGTTACTAACAATTTACATGATGAAGTAGAAAGTAAAATCCGGATACAAAATGAATTAACGGAAACAATAGATATGAAAAAGGGACTACGCCAGGGAGACGCTCTATCATGCATCTTGTTCAACATCGTATTCGAGAAAATACTGAGGGACACAACAGTCAATACTCGAGGAACAATCATTAATAGAAAAGCGTGCAAATACTAGCATTTGCAGATGATGTTGACATAATCGCAAGATCAAGAAGAGAAATTATAGAAGCATACAACCAAATAGAACGAGCTGCACAAAATAGTGGTCTTAACAATCTGACCAAAACAAAATATATGCAGGTAAGTAAAAACGCAGAAATAAGGCAGCCACAAAATATAACAATAGGAGAATACAACATTGAGGGGGTAAAAAACTTTATATACTTGGGATCCCTAGTCCGGCGACTACGAACTGCCCCACGCTACCTAGATTTTAATGGATTAAGTTTTATAGTAGGATTAAAAGCGACTACGAACTGCCCCACGCTACCTACGTACTTAGATAATATTTTTGTGAACATAATATACTTTTTATTTTACTTTCTTGTATTCAAAAAGGAACCCAATTCCCAAAGCATGAGCGAAAATTTTAAATGATTAAATAATGAAACTATAACAATAGAAGTAATCGAATAAAGTTTATTTATAAATCTACATTAACTTATATACAATAACAAAAACTACAGTTAAACAATAACAATGCTTAATTCTAATGTCAGACTAGTGATTCAAATAAGTAAGAGTGAACACTTTATTTTAGATTTTAAAAGTTAGCTGCATAATAATTGCAAACTGACTTATGTAATGTTTCGATTAACGTAATATTCATTTAGCCTATTTTCAATAAAATCAACTTTTCTTTTTGCTGTTTTATCAAGTATTTTTTCGAATCTATGTGCAGTTCTAATTTTCACATATACTTCTGCTTGAAAATTTAACAAAATGTGTGTAAATTTAAATATGTCAGGATGTGATTTATAAAAACATTCGTTATATTTCGAATGAAATGATTCACATGCGTTTGTAGTAAATATAAGAGATGATGAATTTGAAGCCCATATGTAAGGTGGAAATGTTGAATCTTCCGTTAAATAATTATCAACTAGGTAATCCCAAAATTCCAAAACTCTGTCATCTTCTGGCATAATATTAAAAAGTTCATCAGAAAAAAGTCACCAACATCAGTTGAATGTAAATAAGGAATGCCGAAAAACAATTTTAAATATTTTCCAATAACAGTTTGATTTTTATATTCCGAGGACAAACCTAAATTTTGAATTTTTCGGTACCAATTTTGTGTTAAATGAAATTTCCAACAAAAAATAATAATGTCGGGCCACATTAACTTGGCTGCATTTTGAATTGCTATTTCAAAATCAGAAATTATTCGCTTCGGTTTAAAATTTAAATTCAAATCTGTACATATTGTTATTAATGTATCAAAAGTACTTTTGTACGATTGCTGTGATTTATTTGGTAACAAACAAAATACTAGAGGAACATAAAAACCATTTTTGTAGCCATGTATAGTAAACATCTGACAAAAATATTTAGAACAGTATTGAAAAGTTCCATCTACATACAAAGAATCTACATTACACAAAAAGTAAAGACTTGTGAAACAACTAAAAATTGCGGAATTATTTTTCGTAGATAATAAAAAGTTTTCACCTATATTTGTTTTTAAATTTAAGTTCACTAACACTCGTAGAACTTCCTCTTGTGACTTGGGCAATGATGGTGTGGATTTTCGTCTTGTAGCATAGATATTTCTTCGAACGCAAGAAATGTCTTTCGTCGTCAGCGGTAAATTGCTGAATTTTTCCTTTCTCAATTCCTTGTGGACAATCTTAAAAGGTTTTTCACATATATCTTTTACAGCTTTTCTCTTTGTAGAATTACTAAAAATTTGCCGGTCTATGTGGATATCTGGAGCATGATTATGCTCCGATGCTTTTTCAAGAATAACATAATTTTCATTACCTTCCTTTGTGCACACTTTTTGTTGACAGCCTTTTTTGATGCATCGCCATCTAACTTTTCCATCTTTGGAGACATGGGCTTTTGAATATTTATATTTATTAATTATTAATAACAGTTCTCCCCTTTGACTAAACATAGCCGTTGGATTCACCATTTAAATTTAAACACAAAACTATACCGTAATACTTGCAACTGAAGTGAATAACTGAAAATATTCATATTCTTACTTTCAACTATGATCAAATTTGGAATTTTTGGTCATTAAGACTTAATCCCCAACTTTCCCGGCGATGGGTCAGTAGGTACTTCGGATTAAAGGCCCCAGGTAGTTCGTGGGGCAGTTCGTAGTCGCCCCCCTAGTCACGTCTGATAATAACGTTGCGGAGGAAGTGAAGAGGCAAATAGTTATTACCAATAAATGTTACAAAATATCCAAACAGCTGCCAGTAGGAAAAAGAACAAGAGGAAGACCGAAGCTAAGATACTTAGAACAAATATAAAATGATATAACAACCTTAAAAATAAAAAACTGGAGGAAAAAAGCACGAAACAGATCAGAATGGAGAAAAATCCTGAAACAGGACAAGACCCAAAAAGGGTTGTCGAGCCAGTGATGATGATGATGAATTTTAAAGTATCCACTCTAGCCTATCTAATTCTCCCCATTCGTGTCCCTGTGTTTAATTAAATAATAGGGCAAAAGCAGAACAAGAGTCTCATTAAGAATTTATGTAGCCTCTATTTAAAAATATATCGAAAAAGTTGCCTGATGATAATTAGACAAAGGCATGAGAATAGCCTACAAATCAAAAAAGAAATCAAATGCGGCGCCCCTGTATGTTATTTCTCTAACTATTTTATTTTCCTTCTTCTTTTTTCCTGTCTATAGGCAATTCTAGTTGATTATTAGTGAATTTATTCTATATATTTATAATATATCTGTAGTCGGCGATGCATAACAAATGCGATGAAAATCTAAGCCGCTCACAATAAATATAGTTTCAGAAAGGATACGGGAACAAGAGATTCATTCCTGGGACTAACGTTAATCCCTGAGAGATTTTTGGAAGTTAAAAGAAACCTGTAAATCAGTTTTGTTGATCACAAAAAAACTTTTGATCAAATCAAACATTAAATGAAATTCTATAACAGAAGGTGGGGTTGAACGGATGTGATATCTCTACCATTTGTAGAATCACAGAGCGAATCACATTCGAACAAACAATCGTAACATTATGTATATGGGTAACATTAAACGAGGAGTACGTCAAGGGTGTACTCTGTCCCCAATTTTTTTTATTGTATATGCTAAATATATAATTTTATCTTCGCTAGAAGAATAACCAGAGGGAGCAAAAATCAATGGCATTTTGATAAACAAAATGACATGCATTTGATACGGTGATCAGAACAAAAAATAAAGAACGCCTTTAGATACTAAAGAATATACTTATCGAAGGGAGCACCAGAATGGAGTTTGAAATTATTACCATAAATAGAAAAACGTTATTTTTCAGTTGAGACTTTCAGGGAGAACACTAAAGTCTTATATTGGGACCGTGCAAGTTCGGAACAGCGACACCTGGTGTCGTAAATCAGCAAAATTTACTGCGCTTTCATGTTAGATCGAGGTTACCGGATAACTGTCATGGACGTAGCCCCAAAAAAGAATAAGAAGAAAAAGTAAGATTGAGGTTATGTCGGTATGTTATTAAAAGGTAAACGTTGATGTAGCGTAAATACAAATAAATATATTATTGAATTACAGCATTACTGTTAATATGGATGCAATAATAAAAACTGGATTTGAGAAAGTAAATCACCAAATAACTTTTTAATCAAGCACTGAGTCAAAGGGAAAAGCTTTAGTAGTGGCAAATGTCAAAAAAGAATGGAAGAATTAAGAAAAATAAATTACCATAAATAATGCTAATGCATAAATTAGCATGTTAAGCCCATGATATCATCATATTGGTTTGAACAATTAATTCTTTCCCTGTAAACTTTTGGACAGCGAATATATCTTAATGCATCTTCAGAAAAACTTGAACTTGACGCATTTTTGTAAACTTCAAAAAAATAAAATTTAAACATTAAACTTGATTTTTGAGTTAAAATGAACTCTAAGTGAGTGTTATGAAACTAAAATTTACAATTAAAAGTGAACTTCTATTTATTATTTATTTCAAACTGACTTTAAAATCGGGCGCAAGAATAATGCATAATTAAGGTTATGTTACTTATGCTTTTTTATGATATAAATCCACTTTTCTCTTTGTAGTAATTGGTGCTTCGAAGTTGGAAACGAATAAAACTTAAATTGACAATTTTTTGTTGTATTTTTACAATTTATAACACAGCATTTCCTAAATCCAATTTTCTTCAGTGACAGAAGGTATAAATAAACAAACGAATATGAAATATGACAATTGACAATATGAATTTGTGAAATCTATGAAATGTGCAGTAAAAAATGCTAGATTTCTCCGCTACTCGCGCACGATCGTTTCTCGTATCACATCGAAGTACTTGCACGTCGCCAATATGGATCCTGTTTTCGTAATACTGCGGACACACAGATACTCAAACAAGGCGTCATCAAAAAAGGATTTTGCGAATAAGTTGGACTATAAGAACAACCAAGGCAGAAGTGTGGTGTCAAAGTTTAGGAAAACTTTATATCTCGGACAAAATAATGCGTTACAATAAATATGAGTAACTACAACTAATCATTGAGAGAAAAATTGAAGGAAAACATGATATATGAAGATTGGACCAGAACTAAAGAAAACGCTCTCATATACCAAGCCCACAATAGATAAAGACTTTGCCCCACTGGTTGA